AATATATATACATATATATATATAACCAGTAACTTGACTCTGTGTTTGAATCGTGCGGCACCATCATCATTGGCGACTGTCATTCACATGAAGAGATAGATATATGAATGTGTGTGTCTATGTGTGTGAAAGAGAAAGAGAGAGAAAGAGAGAGAGAGAGAGAGAGAGAGAGAGAGAGAGAGAGAGAGAGAAAGAAAGAGAAGCTCACATTACTGATTAGTCATAAGTTCAACAATAGTCTCTTCTCCAGATGCAAACAGTCGTGACAGTACGTGTATTAGCTTTTAGATAGGGAGTATCCGGTTACGCCTCCCGCGATTCCGATATCCAAGCAAATGAGGGAAACAATTAATATATCTTTTTCTCCTTTACTTTATTTTTCTTTCTCATTTGTTTTCTCTCTCTCTCTCTTTTTTCTTTTCTTTTTTTGTACTATTCTTGTGTCCTCGCGCTATTTCTCATCAAAATTACAAAAGAGAACATACATTTTTTTTTCCTTCTTTTTCTTTTTTCTTTTTTTTTTTTTTTTTTTTTTATCTTCAATTTAATGGAAGATATTTCTGCAGTCTTGGTCTTTGTTAAAAATTAATTTTTGAATATGTTCCTTAAAATGTAATAATTTTTTTTTCTCTCTTTTGTTTTTCTTTTCCCCTCAGTTCTAAAAGATTATACAGAATAATGAAATGTCTTTTATTAATGATATTTAAGACTCCCACACAAACTCTTCTTGTATTTTCGTTTGTTTTCAGAATAATGGACAGAGACAAATAATTCATTATTATTATTATTATTATTCATTTTCGTTGGCATCGTGTAATTGTAAAGATTTATTTATTAATAATATTAAAAGTCTTTTGTTAGGGGGAGGTGGTACTTTTATTCTCTGAAAATCTTTCTGCATTTTTTATTACTTCACTTTTATTTTTCTTGTTCTTTTTTCCTTCAAAATAAAGGATAGAGGAGAACGATTTTTTACCACTATTTTTTTTTCTTTTTTTTTTTTTACTTTATTTTTCAACACCGTGTAATTATATTTATAAAACTGTAGTTGTAATCTCTCATTTAGAAAAATGATAATATCCCTTTTATTAGATTTTCATGAACTTTGTTAATCCTTTTTTTTCTCTTTTAACTTTCTCAAAATAATCCCATGTAAAAATAATTTCTAGTTATTTTCTTTACTTCTTTTTTCCCTTCGACTACACGCCGCATAGTTGTACAAAGTTTTACTACTTTATTATTAAATAGTTTATTAATAAAAATTACAAATCCCTTATATATATATATATATATATATATATATATATATTTGTTCTTGTACTACGATTTTTATTTTTATTCTCTTTTTTTTTTCACATATAACATCAAAGCTTCCCACTTGTATATTTTACGACGCTTTTTCAAAATACTTCGCAAGATAATTGAAATTCTAATCTTTTCTTCCTCATGCAACATGATGACACACATTTAATAATGATATGTTACTGTAATATAATTATTAAATCAAATATCTTAACAAATAATTATTTTAATAACAATTAAACAAAAAAATTCCTCATAGTTTTTCATGTAATTCGATTAAATCTTTTTCCTCACAATCATCAACTGCAACAAATAACTATTATTATTATTATTATTCTTTCCCCCTTTCCGCCCCAACTCCGACCCATCCCCCAAATAATATTATCTCCTCTCTATTCTCCAAACAATCAAAACAGACTCAAAAGTCATTTCAATTGTATTTCTCGGAGCACAGTATATATTACACATGTTCGATATAAACAAAAAATAAAAAACAAAAAAAAAAAAAGATATTTAATTGGAGAAAGGCTAGAGTTAAACGACCGCGATAACGAGACTTGCCTTACTTGCACCCCCATCCCCACCACCACTCTATCCTCCACCACCTACCACATCTATCCACTCATCATCATCCATCTACCTCAGTCCACCCATTTTTTAAATGTTTTCATATCACCCTCGAGTTCCTTCGTTCGCTCTATTACACCTTAATCGATGTACCATGTATCCAATATAACAGGGTAAAGAGTTCACTCTACAATGAGTGGGAGAAGAAGGATAGAAGAAGAAGAATAAGAAAAAGAAAAAAAAATCAATGGAACAACGAACGAAGGTAAAAAATAGATTCACCCCCTCACCCATTCCTCTCTCTTTCTTGCTGAAAAATGTAACAACATGACCGACACAAGACAAGCAGCAGCAACAACAACTATTACTACTACTACTACTACCAGGAGGGTTGGAAGGAGATAGACAGGTAGGGTAGATAGGGGAATCCCGCGGCCAGTGACACGTTCCGCCAGGATAAACGCATTTACAGAGACACAGGGTAGATATAAATATAATCCTTGCAACATACTCTTCGACTGAAAGTAACACGACCCACATATTCTTGTGAGCATTATAAGTATCATGACGTGTAACCATCATAACAACAACGGTGTATAAACCTTATGCTACACCCTCGTATAGTCAGTCCTCCTCTAACCCCTATACACTCCCCTCCCCTTCACTATACTTCTACCGATCTTCTACTTCTACTTCTACTTCTTCTTCTTCTGCTTCTTCTTATATCTCTTTTAGATCTAAAAATAATCGTACGGTTGACGGGATCTCGAAAAAGAAGGAATATAGTAGTAGTAGTAGTAGTAGTAGTAGTAGTAATAGTAGTAATAATAGTAGTAGTAGTAATAATAATAATAATAATAATAATAATAATAATAATAATAATAATAATAATAATAATAATAATAATAAAAATAAGGGAGCAGTGACATCTTGTACGTCTTATGGTTAATTATCTACATATGTACGTGTATATTTATGCATATGTATATATATATATACATACATAAAGAATAATAATTAAGGGAACGATGACATCTTGTGTCTTACGATCTTATATATTTATGTATTTATGCATCTATGTATGCATGCATGTATGTATATAACGATCTTATGTGTGTACATACGTATGTAAGAGTCTTTATGATGGTCGTTCCGCTTTTGATCAAGTCTCGCTTTTATTTTTCACTTTTAATTCTTTTTTTTGTCATTTTTTTTTTTTTTTACTTAATCGTTTTTTTATTTTTTATTTACTTTTTTCTTTTTCTTATTTTTAGCTGAAGTTCTCGCGACTTAAGTTTTCATATAAGAGTACTCGAAATTCAAAGCGATTTTTTTTCTTTGCTTTTTTTTTTTACATCTTTATTTCTCTCTCTCTCTCTCTCTCTCTCTCTCTCTCTCTCTCTCTCTCTCTCTCTCTCTTGATTATTATTATTTTTTTTCTTTTTCATTTACATCATAAAAAATTCATTCCTCTAACGGCGCTTACGAAGCTCACGAAAGAAGTATACCTCTAAGTCGATTCGTGGACGAGAACGAGAACGAGGGTTGGTTGCTTTTAATGGAAGGGACGCTCGACTTTTGACCCTTAATGCGGATCAGCTTGGAAAAATAAAGCAGCAAAAAGAAAAGTCATTGGGTGTTCATCCGCTTACGATAAGTATGTAGTAGTGGCTTCCTTTCGAAGAAAGGATCGCCAGTGAATCTTATGATCGTGAATAAATAAATAAAAAATAAATAAATAAATAAATAAATAAAATAGAAAATAAAAAGAAACAAATTTAATGATTTCTAAAATCTAAGAATGAAATTATTTACATAAAAGGAATATACATGAAATAAAATAAAACAAGAAAAAAAAAATAATAAAAATAAAAACATAAGAGAAAAAAAAAAATAAATAAATAAACAAATAAAAGAAATAAAAATGTTAGAATAAAATAATTCGAATAGTAATACGATAAGAGGGAATGACAAAAAAAGAGACGAAATAATAAAGAGAAGAGATAAACGACGTGGTAACAGACAGGATGAAAGGAACTAACGAAAAACTGTTTGCGTATAATGCGAGAACGAACCGGATATACCTCAATCGTTGTTGTATTGCCGATTATCGACAGTGCTGTTAGCTGTCCGTTCATCAAACACTTACAATACGATGGTAGATATGTATCTTACGTTTTGGCATGCCTCCAACTTTATTTCTTTTTTATCCTTTCAAGTATACACAGGAAAGAGAGAGAGAGAGAGAGAGAGAGAGAGAGAGAGAGAGAGAGAGAGAGAGAGAGAGAGAGAGAGAGAGAGAGAGAGAGAGAGAGAGAGAGAGAGAGAGAGAGAGAGAGGTACGAAACGTTGTTAAAATGGCGACTTAATTTAACCCCCATCAAGTTACATCATTATAATATATTATTATAATGTATGAATATAATATCAGTATTAATTTTTAACGGAATAATAATAATAATAATTATTATTATTATTAAACACATTTATATACTAAAAATAATACATTTTCAATATAATATTCATAAAAATTTTATTCATAAAAAAAAAAAAAAAAGTATTATTGAAAAGATTATTATTAATAATTGATAACGATTGATAAAAATGTTTTTTTTTTTTTTTGAATATATCTGCGCATATTTCGTAATAATTTTATTTTTTGATGAAAGCGTTAATATAAAGGTTATCTCATCTTATATATATTGAAAGAGTTATTGTGTAATAATAATTAACGATCAATAAAATTTTGTGAATCATAACCTAAAAAATTATGTTAATCGTAAACTAAAATTGAAATATTAGAAATATTAAAATTATGAAGGATTAATAAAAATGATAATAATTATAACCTTAAAAAAAAAAAAAAAAAAAAAAAAAAAAAAAAAAAAAAAAAAAAAAAAAAAAAAAAAAAAAAAAAGAAAGAAAGAAAGAAAGAAAAGAAAAAAAAATTATGAAGTTAATCTAAAATGAAAGAAATACTTAATTTTTTCTGACGAATCAATGAAAATATTAAATTCCGATCGTCTTTGAAAATGAAAAGATAATGTTTGAAAGATTCGAAACGAATAAAAATTTTCAACGAATCATCATCGTCGTCATTATTATCAACCTAACTTCAATTTCACGTATTCTTTTTTTTTTTTGATCTCTTATACAAACACATAAAGTTAATTTTACTCGGTGATACATGATCAGAGGATTGTTTTTTCGTCGTTCACGTCGTCATCGTCGTCGTCATTGCGGACAGACATGTGTCGCCTAAAGAAAATAATCGTTCGATGATGTCAACAGACAGCAATAAAGAATTGCAGAGATCACAATAATAAGATCATCATGGTAGAGATCCAACGATTTGTATATATCTCTGTTATACATCTGTATTTGTTTTTCTTTTTTTTTCTTCTTCTTCTTCTTCTTCACGTGCAATAAGCCTGTATCGGAAATGTTGCCAGGTGATAAATGGGGCTATATCAGTTTTGTTATCAGTACCCTAGATCGTACCAGGCGGCTAATGCTAATTTGCTGCTCTACTGCAATATTGAACCAGGTAGGACGGATGTTGTTGTCGTCGCTTTGGCAACACTGTTTTCCGAGTGTCGTTTTCGTCAACGTCGTCGTCGTCGTAGTCTTTACAAAAATATCCCTTGATCTCCTTACAATACCACGACCTTTTGTCGTTTTTGTTTGTTTGTTTGCTTTTTTTTTTTTTTTCTTTTTTTTCTTTCTTTTATTTTCAACATCAAAACATTTGAATAATCCATATGAGAATAATAAGATATCAATAATGATTTCTGTGAATCAGTTGTCCACGTTTCAATGTCAATTTACATAATCTAACTTATCAGACATATTAACAGAGTAAATTCGAACAAATGTTATGTCCCTGATGTCTGTCAATAACAGAGAACTTGGAACATTCATCATAATATATAATAAATATATATATAATATATATATATATATATATATATATATATATTTAAATTTATATATATGTACGTATTAGTTATACAATTTTAATGAATATTATATTTCATTAGGTCAAAAATCGTTAGTTCATTTATATTCATTCTTTCATTAAATTATTTATTTATTTATTTAATCATTTATTTATTTAATCATTTATTTATATTTATGAAAGATCGAAATAAAATAAATATTGTCTGGGCCGATCGCACATGTTACATTTACATTATAACAAGTGCAAAGATATTTTTACTTTACGAACGAACTTTATGGTTACATAATAATTCCGACACAAATAGATTTTCCCCTTGTAGAACTTCGATAAATTATTCCCCAGGTCTATTAAAAGATAATCTGAGATTATTATAAGAGAGATAAGGGTTGCGGAATTATTAACCACGCTGTTATAGCAAAGAGCTAAAACGAAAAATGTTTACCGACCGTCGATAAATATTTCTTTTTTGTCACGTATAGAATAATTGAAAAAAAAAAAAAAAAAAAAAAAAAAAAAAAAAAAAATAAATAAAAAAATAAAAATTAAATACTATACACACAAACACAAGCGCGCGCGCACGTACATGCATCCCGTTCACAGACATTCTATTTGACTGCTTTAAAACGTTATCAACGTCATCAATCATGTATTCAAACGAATCCAGACATCTCTGATTCGTTCTAACGATATAAATCATCATGCAGAGTTCTCACGTGAGTAAGAGGCAACATCTATGCATACACACACACGCGCACACCTTTCTCTCTCTCTCTCTCTCTCTCTCTCTCTCTCTCTCTCTCTCTCTCTCTCTCTCTCTCTCTCTCTCTCTCTCTCTCTTTCTTTCTCTCTGTCATGAATTTTCTACGTGACTATCGATGCCACTCAACCGAGTAAACGAGAGAATTCTCTTCGATGGAATATTTTCACTAAGGTGCGCAAACAAGGTCGCACGAGGAAGACTTTTATTTGTCGAATCGCAAGGATGAAGAAGCAGCATTACTTTTATGTGATCGTTCACGATCAACGTAAAAGCTTCGTAAAAAGATCACTATTGACTAATGTAATAGTTTGAAGAGAATTTTTGCCGAATTTGAAGTGTCGATCATCTCTTTCAATCGTCTAAAAATTCCCTCTCTCTCTCTCTCTCTCTCTCTCTCTCTCCTCCTTTTTAATCAATCAAAGATTGATCGGACATATTTTTAAAAATATTTTATAAGCGTATTTTATTAAAATAAAATAATTAATCATTTTATTAATTAAGAATTTATTGTCATTTCTAAAAAATGTTTGTAAATATTTATATCCTCATTTTTATCATATACTTTATTAAATTATTTATATATATATATATATAAAATAAAATTCCTTTTTTATTAATAATAATAACAAAGATTAATTGGTCATGGTTTTAAAGATATTTTATAAAAATATTTTATGTAAATAAATGTGAATAAATATCCATTTATACAATATTTATCACTAAGAACAAAGATCTGGTATTACGCCGTTTTCATTTATTCATTTCTTTAATTTTTTTTTTATATAATATATATATATGTATATATACCGTAATTTCTCAAAAAAATTTTTTAAAAATATTTACGCAAATATAAAAAACATTATGAAAAATATTTCTTTCTTTTTTTTTCTTTTTCCTTCTCTCTCTCTCTCTCTCTCTCTCTCTCTCTCTCCCTCTCTCTCTCTTCTCCCCCCCCTCTCTCTCTTTCTCAATTATACGTACATAGAGCGCAAGGTCCTGACGATAAATCATATTATATATATGTAAATGCATATGTACGCTTATATACATAGTACGCATTTTGTACGTAGAAATCATATTGATGCAATGAATGCGGGTTTCGCCATGCGATGACCTTGAGAGGAACTGGAAAAGATAATGGATCGCGAAGTAGTAGAAAAGTTTGCAACGTCGCAAAAGGTCACACGAGAATGGAAGACGACCGGTCACGTTATGATAATAATAGCACTAATAATAATGATTATATATGATAGAATAATCGATCAAAAAGTAGACCAGATAGAATAGTTTCATTAATTTATATACGTGTGTGTCTTGATTATACAAAAATTGATTGATCATAGTTTTAAAAATAATTTTACAAAAGTAATTTTATAAAAATAAATATGAAAAATAAATATTTACTTATATATTTCTTTTTAATTTATATATATATATATATATATATATATATATATATGTATGTATGTATAAATATAATATGTGAATGAGAAAATAAATATTCGAAAAAATATTTTAGAGACGATGGTGAATGAATTTATAACTGATAAAAAAAAAAAAAAAAAAAAAAAAAAAAAAAAAAAAAAAAAAAAAAAAAAAAAAGAGAGAAAAGAAAAAAAAAAGAAAAAAAAAAGAAAGAAAGAAAAAAAAAGGAAAATTATCCTTATAATATATATATATAAAAAATAGTTTGCAAAGAATCGAAATATTTACGAGACAAAAAGTTATTTCCTTGTTGTGTTTCCGAAGTTAGGCGAACAGCAAAGAAACTTTTCCATTTCATATTTATTTATTAATTCAATTTTATCTATCTTTTCTTTTACTTCTTTTTTTTCCTTCCTTCATCCCCCCTCCAACCCCCTTTTTACCATTTTGGCATTTTTTAAGGTTAAAAAAAGAAAAAAAAAAAGAACAGAAAGAGAGAGAGAGAAAGAGAGAGAGAGAAAGAGAGAGAGAGAAAAAGAAAAAATTAACCGGACAAAAATATTGCATCAATTATTTATGCTGCACATAAAATGTACGTATTATTGCAAATAGTTTCGAACTGTATCGAATTGAAAGTAGGTTTGCGTAAGGCGCCATTTGTGTATCCTGAATTCGATCTATAAATAAAACGCAACCCTGTACGACGAACTACTACTTGAGTTAAAGCGAGACTTCGATTTATCGTTCATGACGTACTCATATGTATATGTATATGTATATATATATATGTATATATATATATATATATATATATATATATAGCCACATACCACACGCACAATTGTGTATGCGTGTGTATGTGCGTGTATACATATTTTGCGTACGTATGCCATCCTATAAACGTTTCTCTATCTGTATAATACGTATTTATATACGGATATGAATCTTTAGTATTTATGTATAGCATGTAGTCCTTGTCATTATAGACGATGGATAACATCGATCGATGTTGTGTATCCTTCGAAATCGGGAATCTGGATTCCATTCTTCATTCTATATAATGCATGCATTATATTAGACACATTATTCATATATGCATGCATGCATGCATCCATACATACATACATACATACATACATAAATGAGTACATCAATAGTCTCATAAATACCTGCTTACACATACACTCTATATATACGTTTGAATCAAGCCACATATATACGCATACACAAATTACATACATACACATACATATACATATATATATATATATATATAAACATGAGGGGTAGAGTATTTGATGATAACGACGATTAATGTCGTCGTTCAAGAGAGGTATGATCGATTACGATCCATCATTAATTAGACAAAATCTTTTAACTTGGATGTTGGCTTCTATTTATTACGACGACATTAAATAAATTCCTTTCAATCTGAGCTATTGGAAGTGTGATGATCAATCAGATAAATATATACTACGTAATAGTAACTTCCGGTTGTATACGAATGATGCCTCTTTTTCTTCTTCTTTTTTTTTTTCTTTTTTTCTTCTTTTCCCTTCTGTTTCCGTTATTATTAATCATGATAAGATTATTAATTAACCGATATCTTATCGTATAAAGATGTGTACACAACACATATATATGAAGAAGACACAATATTTAAGTTTTTCTTTATCACCAACTTAACTTCAAATAAGTATTTATTATTTATTATATACATGTATATATGTAATATATATAATATATCTAATATAAATATAATAATAATATATTAATTATATTCTATATATATATCTATATATATATATATTACATAATATATATATATATATATATATATATAGTATAGTATAGTGCATATATGAGTTACTGTACAATATACTCTATATATATATATATATATATATATATATATATATATATATATATATATATATATACATATAAATTAATTGAAGTTTAGTCGATGACAAAGAAAATGAATCAGAAATTATATTAAACAAACAGAAAAATTATTATTTAAAGTTTAAGTGAATAGTAAAGAAACGATAAATGTCAGGTAAATAATGAAGAAAATGTTGAAAATAAATATATTCGAAAATAAGATAAAAGAAGAAATATGTAAGGTTAACTAAGTAAATAAGTAAGTAAGTACATACGTACGTACATACATACATACATACATATATATATATACGTATGTATGTACGTACGATCTCTTTCTTGCGAGCCGACGGCCGCGCCTAGAAATAAATTTGTCTCCTTGGCAAAGTCTCCGTAAGGCGCCGTAGAACGCATTTTGCCGTCGTCATAGTTGATAGTAACCCGTACCCGTAACCCGTACCCGTAAACCGTAAGCCGTGGCCGTAGCCATAGGTACAGCAATACCGGTACACCAAGAGACGAGCACAATGTTCTTAATCACGTAGGATTTATTTACGAAACGATATTTGGCCAGCTTTCAATTATCGGTCGACTATCAGAGCTTTTGGATTTACTTCGTTCAGTTTCCTTTCGATTAGATTCCATTCGATTCGACTCGATTTTATTCGATTTCATTCGATTCGATTCAGTTCGATTATCGAGAGAGTTCGATGATTGCCGATTTTATTCGCAATTCCTTCAAATTGAAATTATTTCCTCAAAATCGATTAATTGATAAAAAGAAATAAATAAATAAATAAAAAAATAAAAAGACACGCAAAATATGTATTGGTTATGATTATGATTATGGTTATGGTTATAGTTAAGTTGAGTTGAGTTAAATTATTTTAGTTAACATCTTAGAGGCCAATTTTGTTATTATCTCCAATTGTAAAGTGCTAATTATATAACATGGAAAAGTTATAAGTTATTTACCATGACTAATATATATATATAACTATATAATTGTCTGTCTCTCTTGATTAGTTATATATTATATAATTATATTTCATAGAGTATATCATAACCATCTACAGTTTATATATATATATATTATGTATAATCATATATTATTGTATAATAATACTATAATATATCTAATATAACCTATATTAAGCAAATATTAACTTTTGGATATGAACGGACGAACTTTTCGTAAAAACAATAAAAATTAGAAAAAGATTTCCAAATATATATACATACAAACATATATATATATATATATATATGGAAACTTTTTTCTAATTTATTTTTTGTTACTACATACACACATATATATGCGTGTACATATATATATATATATATGACTTTAAAAATGATATATAGATGGTTAAGATCAAATATATACTCTAACTATAAGAATAAGGAGAAAAAGAAAATAATCTAACCGTAGATAAAGTGGTAAGGTCCCAAGCACTTTTGGCCTGTTTTTGGCAGGATCTCTTGTTCCTCTTGCCGGGTCTGCGCAAACTGGAGAACCAACCGGCTGCTATAGCGACGGCTTTAACGTCGCGACGCTCGTCGCTCTGGACGACGACGCCGCTGCTACCGCGTACCTCGTCGAGAGCGTCGACCGACCTTCCGGTGAAAATCATTCCTATAGCGCCAGAACGAACTTGCCTTTATATGTCCTTATTCTCCTACTCCACCTCCGTCTTCTCCTCTTCCTCCTCCTCTTCCTTATTCTTCTTCTTCTTTTTTTTCTTTCCCTTCTTATTCTTATTCTCACCTAACTTCGTACGATACACACACGTTTCCCGAAGAAAATCCGAAATCTCTCGAATTTTCACGAATAATTACGAATTTTCACGAACGAAAATCGTCATCACCCCGTCATTGAAACCGATTGCGATATACCGATGTAAAAAGAAAAAAGAAAAAAAGTAAAGAAAGAAAACTTTACTAACGATCATCGTTCTCTCTTATTCCTTCTTTTTCCTCTTTTTTTCTTTTTTTTTTCTTTTTTTTTTTCTTTTTTTTTTTATACATTCATTATTAATCCTTTCCTATTATATATTCTTTTCTTTTTTTTTTCTTTTCTTTTATTTTCTTCAAATTCCTTCCTTTTTCATCCGTCAATTGATTGGTCATTCCAATGAAATTTCTCCAATGTAATTTCGAACATCGAATGACTTCTCCCTCTCCTTTCAATTAAATCTTTCTTCTTTTTCTCACACTTATCGTCCGCTAATTCGACAAAAGAATTTTGCCACACTGCAAACACACAACCACCATATCATCGATGTGCTACGTTACACGATTTTACTTCGAAGAATTATGATGGACTTGTGTATATATATATATATGATGTGATGGTAACTTCGAATTAGTCGTAGATATTCCTAGAAACCGCCGGCGAAATGTATTTACTTATATGTACGATTGGTATATATATCATGTATATATATTATATATATATATATATACGTACACACACGTAAAACCGTTAAAAATGTTTGATTGAAAATTGATGATCTCGGAGAAATCCTATTGGTCGAGATTAACTCAAAGAGAGTTGCCCGCGAGACGATAAATACTACGAAACACGATTGATCGTTTCACACGATGTACGTACTTTTACGTATGTATTCATTTCTTTATTTATTTATTTTATTTACTCGCACTGAATCAATCACAACTGATTAAAAAAAAATGTCATTCATCCTATTGATATTTAATATTATATCACTTATGACAAACGTAATACGATATTGATAATACAATTTATGTTCACACTCGCGTTAAAAAAAAAAAAAGAAAAAGAAAAGAAAAGAAAAGAAAAGAAAAAAAGAAAAAGAAAAGAAACAGAGAAATATATTTAAAGAAAAAAGAAAAAGAAAAAAGAAAAAGATATGAATGAACGACGAAGAATTGACGAGATTTATTAAAAAGAAAAAGAAAAAAAAAGTTCTTCTTTTCGTCGAGAAATAAGATTATAACGTCACGAGATAATATTTCTTATTTCATATCATTATACCGATAAATATAGAAATATGTTATAGTACAAAATTTGCGTGGACAGAGAGAGAAAGAAAAAAGAAATATATATATATATATAGAAAAGATAAATTCATCTAACGTAACACCCGACACACCGCATCCATGCGTGGTCGGCGCGCGACTGTCGTTCTTTCAACGTACAACGATAGTCATTTCTTTACTGAACATGCGCCCTGGCGCCTCGTTGTGGACGCGCCACGAACTTCAACCGGACGAGAGAAAGACTGTATTTGAACCGAGGTATAGATATAGACATATACTACATAACATACACACACACACATATATATATATTCTTGCGATTTCTGCTTATACGTGCTTATAAGTGCGGCTACGTGCATCTATGTTGTATATATGTATGTATGTGTATATATATATATATGTGTGTGTGTGTGTAGCAACGGCCGCGGAAAGAATGTACCGTGCTTGAAAGCGAAGCATGAGCCGAGAGAACTCCCTTTTGCACACCGGTGAACGGTTCTCTTCTTCTGAGTCTCTTTACGATCGGAGATTCGATTGAGAAAAATGTGCCCTTCCGAACAGTTCAAAAGATACCATCGATAACGGTCAACCTATTTCTTGCTTTTTTTCTTTCCTCTCTTTATTTTCTTCTCTTCTTTTTTTCTCTTTTTTTCTTTCTTCCTTTATTGTTTTTATTTTTCTTATCTTATTTTTTTCTTTTCCTTTCTTTTTTTCTTTTTTTTTTACGCGGGAGAACAATTTTTAAATTTGACCGTTACATTTTATTGCTACGATTTCTTATCTTCTTTTTTCTCTCTTTTTCCTTTTTTTTTTTTCTTTTCTTTTTTCATGTTCGAGGAAGATCGAGGAGGAGAAGGAGGAGGAAAAGTGAGGTCATTAAATTTTCAAAACAGCTCCATTGTTTCGTACATAAAATTTATGCACTTGTATAATTTAAAATGAACGATCTAGATATTATACTGGGTCATTCTTTCTTTCTTCTTTCTTTTCTTTTTTTTTCCTAATCTCTTCAACTTCCCACGAAGAACAAAGAGAAGGCACAAATACGTACGTACACATATACACAAGTATACATGGGATACATATGCATTGATGTATCATTCGCATTTCAAATCGCAATTTGTTGTGTTCTACGGCTGCAAAGAAATGATAAAAACAGGCGAACTAAAAACTTGGCCGATTATTTTATCATCCTTCAGCGAACTATCAACGACACCGATTATAATTATCGCAGTTTAAGAAAAGCTTCTCTATTGGAGGCAAATAAAAAAGAAAAAAAAAAAAAAGGCAAAAAAAAATGGTCCACACATCGGCATAGTTCGAGAAATTCGATAAACGAATTTAAATATCCTGAAAAATAAGAATTTATTGTGTTTCTCTCTTTTCTCTCTCTCTCTCTCTCTCTCTCTCTCTCTCTCTCTCTCTCTCTCTCTCTCTCTCTCTTTTTATATCACCTGACACACAAGACACGTAATGCTAACGATTACAATGAAAATCATTCTAATCGCAACCAGCTGTGTTTTTCTTGTGCGCGCGCGTGTGTGTGTGTGTATATGTATATATATATATTAATATATATAATATATAATGTGTATGTGTGTTTTGTAGTAAATTTCCTGGCATAATCTTTGGATTAGTCTTAACGACGTGACTCACGTCATTCATCAACATAACGCGAAGTAGATCGGCCGGTTATTGGTTCGATGTGCTAACTTCCTTTTAGTTGATGTACATATATAATATGTGAATATGTACATACCTAAACGCACTTCTTTTTTTTCCTCTCGTTACTCATCGTAGGAAACAATTCTTTTCAATGGATATATTTTTGCAACATATAATTTTAAAAAGAAAATCTAAAGGAATCTTAAAGTCAAAACATTTTTTTGACTTTCGCACATTCAAAATCGTATTGTAATACTGTTTTGTATAAAATGTATTGTATTAACATTCAACAAAATTTGCTCAGATTTTTCAAAATCACTCTTTCGAAATATTTTTCAAAATTAATCTTTCGAAATATTTCAAGCTAATTTGTTTCAGATTCTACAAAATATTCCTATTCTTACAGTAAAAAACAAAAAGAAAGGAAAAAAAAAAAGCTATAACATAAAATAACACAATATTCATGTAATTTCGAAAAATAATGTAAATACGTATACATAAAAGAAAAAAAATATATATATATATAAATAAATAATAAAATAATAAATGTATTACCTTATTCTTGAGATCTTTTCGTTTAATATGAAAAATACTAAATAACGAGAACGGGTACCATCGTTGTTGCTTGATCCAGCAAACATTTTTCTTTTCTTCTTCCTTCTTGCATCGTGGTTGAACATCATACGATTTCGGTGCCATCACTTTATTCAAATAAAGCCACGAGAGAACACAATACACAACACAACACAACCTACTTCACACGTGATCGTTCCACGCGCAAACTATTCACGTATAAATATAGTTATAACGTTTTATCGTATCGTTTCAATGTATATATATATATACATGTGTGTGTGTGTGTGTGTGTACACACCACATATACATCGACAGATAGAGAGAGAGAGAGAGAGAAAGAAAAAAGAGAAAGATAAATAAATCCGCGACACTGTCAATCAAATACACAAAAGAATATATATATTAAATTATTTCTCCAAATTAATATTAATTATATATAAATAAAATTTAATTTAATAAATTATATATATTTTTACGCGAATTATTTTTTCTCATTTTTTATTTTTTTTATATTTTTTCTTTTTTTATTTTTATTTATTTATTAATTTATTTTTTTTAATTTTCTTTATATATATATATATATATATATATATATGCATATATATGCAGAGGTATATTCGAGCCGATATATTGAAATAAATAATATAAAATATGATCGAAATGATCTATCGATGAAATTCGTGAGATAGATTATTAATTGAACGGATAATTAAGTAAGATCTAGTCTGAGCACTGTACTTCGGATTAAATGTGAAAAACTATTCTCAACGTATCTATTTATCCGTACAGATCCACGTACGGTAAGGATCTGTTCAAATAATCCTACCTCTAAACATGTTATGTTTCGTATGTTACCTCGTGAGGGAATTAGGAAAGGGAAGGGCAACGTTGCCAAATTATCTTTCTAAGATATTAAATCTAAATACCATTGTAATATATTCTTTGGCTGATAATATTGAATAATACGTCGTATATTTATCGACGATTTTATCAATGACAATAGCATCTACAAAATAATGCATTCATTTTATCGAAAGTACACATTTCAACAAAAAAAAAGAAAAAAAAATAAGAGGGAGGGCTGGAAGAATAATAATAATGAAAAGACTGATAAATTCGTTTGTTAAAAAAAAAAAAAAAAAAAAAAAAAAATATATATATATATATATATATAAATAAATAACAAACGAAAAACATTTTTTTGTTTCGTGATAACTACAGGATGGAACAAAAGTTTTTTGTATTGACCCAAAAGTTTCTAGACGCTTTTTTTTAAAAATAGATCCCTCTTTTTCGTGACCCTTTTTTAAAGCTTGCAGCAAGCTCGCTTTGCGATTTTACGATCTGAGGAAACAAAAAAAAAACAAAAAAAAAAAACAAAAAAGCAAAAGAAAAAAAAATAGCTCAAATAATCTCGAAATATAGTAACAATTGATATTTAATATTACCTAGAAACTTTTGACTCGTCTAAAAACGAGGTTTAAATCACTCGACCCAAACTGTATATATTATACATTTGCTATTAAGAAAAATTAATAGATTTAATGATCGAAGTTTCTTTCGATTGAAAATATTTTTCACTTACTTCACTATCTTCTTCTCCCTTTTCTATTCTTTTCTTTTCTTTTCTTTTTTTTTTCTTTTTCTTATTAATAATAATTAAACTCAAACTGTGGCAGCAGAGTTTATAACGAGATTTAAGAGAGAGCGAGAGCGAGAGAGAGAGAGAGAGAGAGAGAGAGAGAGAGAGAGAGAGAGAGAGAGAGAGAAAGAGAGAAAGAGAGAGAGAATCTTTCGATTACTTTAAAAGTGATCGAATCAATTCGATGAAAGATATTTACATGAAAGTTTTCGCGAAAAAGTCACGTGACCGGAGTCAAATCGCGGCAACACGACATTTCGAAAGGAAGTTTTGAATGCGTGCCAAGATCGAACGCGGCGGCATTTATCTCCGCCAAACTTTTTCCTGATATTAGATCCAAGCGTGTTTTTCTCTTTCAAGATAGTAATAATATAGCACCTTGATTATTCGGATCAGTGACCGGATACGGCCCAATAGATCGAAATCGTTTGATTTATAAAATTGCAATTTCTTTTTTTTTTTCTTCCCTCAAATTCGAAAAATATTTATATTTCCATACTGTTTTGATATTGTTTTAAAACTATAATATATATGAATGCGTACTTCTTTTCTTTTCTTTTTGTTTTATGTTTTCTTTTTATCTCATACGAAAAAATTAAAAAATATTATAGATAGTATGTTTATTTTTTTAATTTGATACCCTGAATGAATATGTTCATATATATATATATATATATATATATATATATATATATATATATATATATATCGTACAAAGAGGTTAGAAAATACTTAAGTTCGTTACTTTTTTTAATTTTACATCCTTGTATGAAACATACATGCATACATATATATCTACATATATATACATATATATATATATATATATATATATATCGTACAAAGAGATTAGAAAACATTCGAGTTCGTTACTTTTTGTTTTATTCTTCTCCCTATGTATAAATACATTTATTTTCTTTATAATTTGAAAAAGTTCGACGAAAAGAAAAAAAAAATAAAAGAAAAATTAAAAAAGTAAGCAAAAAGAAAGAAGAAGTAAAAAAGT